CCACGTACCGGCACCTGCTGGAGGGCCAGGACTTGCAGTACGTGACTCTGCCCGAACCCTGAGTGCAGATCGGGGCAGTCACAGGCACTGTGTGGGGTGGGAGCTGGGGCTGCCGGGCTCACCCCGCAGAGCTGAGGCACTGCACACACAGCCTGTGGGGCACTGGCAAAGCAGGTGCCCAGGAAAATCCCTGGTGCTGCCAGAACTCCAGCTAAATCTGCACATCAGTGGTGCTGGGGATTTGAAAATACAAATGCCACCAATTTGAGTACAGTGAATTACAGAAGGCACCAGGCACCATATGTCCATCCCACATAACCCTCTGTTTGCACTGGAATTAGAGCCTTCAGCCTGAAACAACCTATAAAAACCTGCTCCCTGTATTTCTTTAGCTCTTGGTTTTCTACATTTGCGCAGAGGTGAAAATATCCATCCTCACACACCAGTACCCCCATCTAGAAAAGAGCTTAGTACAGACCCCAGCTTACTTCAGGAAAATCTGCTTTTTCATGCCCACTCCTCATATCTGATCTATACGTGGAATTAGTCCTTATATAGTTTCTAGAAGAGGCATTCTGAGGAGAGCAGCAGTATATGGAGATATCAGGACAAGGAACTGGTCTGACAGCTGTTCACATTCCCTCTTAAGTACATAAGGGTGGCTTTCAAAGCTGAAAGCACCTTAACACCACCTCAGGTAACAACACACCTGAGAAACCAGCCATTGAGAGCAGCCCTGTGAAATCCTGGCTGTTCACACGAATTCCTAAATGGATCAATGGCTTCAGGGGACAGGGTCAGGGATGGTCATTAATGAAATATTTCTTCTTTTCTACAGGCTGTCAGGAGTGAACCCCAAGGACGGTAAGAAACATTTTTATTTAACAAGGGGCTGAAATGAACAGGCAAAATAGGATTAAACAAACTTATTGGCTTTTTGCCTTGGATTTCTTCTTACTACCACAGATTCCATTCTCCTGCAATGACCACTTTCTGTATCATGTAGAGGCAAAACCATAACACTTTATTTTATGTTCACTTTTGAAACCATCATTTTGCCATAACGATTGCATGGGAACCTAAACCACCAAAATCTCCCAAAGATTTCTAAATTCCTCTGCTATTCACACAACACACAAGATACTTCCAAATCCACATGTGATGTGCACTCCTAAGTTTTTTCTGGATAAGGACCAGGAGGGAAAGCAGATAAGATGTAAAGGCAGTTCTGCCTTTGATATGTGAAAGATCTTGTGAGGAAACAAACAAACACAACCACACTGCTCAGCTCCTCAGGGCCTTGGCTGTGCGGTGGTTTTTTTCTTCCCTATTTAATTGTTTTATTCCTCCTGCAGCATCATTTGGGATCAGTGGAAGAGTTCGTGTTAGCACAGAAGATGAGGGAAGATCTGGATCTGGTTCTACCCGTGACAGGAGATTCCCATGAATAAATACTGAATCCCCTCTTTCACGTGATTCCACATGGAACCAGTGCAGCTTCTATATTGGCTAATGCTGAGAGAAAGAGCCTTTCACTCCCCCCAAATCACAAGAATGTACCCAAGAATGTCTTTCCTTAGATTTGCTCTGCCTTTGTACATGAGCATTGACTCGCTGGGGCGGAGATGCCTGTTCTCTGTCAGTGCTCTATTGTTTCCTACATAATAAAGTTTCTGTTCTGCTTGTGCAAATATATCCAGTCTGATGGTGTTTTCTGGAGTCAGTGTGGCACTGCCACACACAGCCCACACACCCTTCCAGCAGGGGTAACAACAGCAATAACAGTCACAACTTTAATAATAATAACAACAGAGATGGTGATGAACAGATACAAAGTGCCATTAAATTCTTCCAGGGATCTGGAGCTGGGATCAGTAAAAAATGGAGAAGATAACATAAAAAACCCTAAAGCTCTTTGTCCTCAATGCCAAGCACACAGTTCATGCACAAATAAAACGCACCTCTGCAAAAACTAGTATTTTTCCATCTGTTCCTGTACTGCCTTCAGCACAAAGAGAAATGCCCTCAGCTCCTGAGGAAGCTCCAGGCATGGTCCAGGTGAAATGGGCTGCTCAGAGGTTGCTGTGACTGTTTTGGTTCTCTCCCATCAGGCAGAACCTCCCCAGCCCATGTCAGTGCTGTGGCTGCTGTACTGGCCACACCACCTTCTCCCAGCTGCAAATCCACACCGGAGGAACTGAGGAGATGCTGACAAAGCTTTAAGAGCCTGGTGAATCCCAACCTCAGGAGTACATAAGGAGTTATCTAAATGCTGTACTGTACTCCCATAACCTGTTTGGAAAAGGTGTCCTTAGCCCCATTGATGGGTATTTCAATCCACATAACAGTGTCTGCAAAAATGATGTAATTTCTAGAATTTTATTCTCTTTCCAACCTCCTTAGAACCCCTACTTTTGTGTTTCCTATTTCCTGACACTTAAAAGAAATCTAAACTGCTGGCACCACCAGTTTGGCCATGAGTGAGGCCACAGGATCACTGGTGCCACTGGTAAGAAATGCACATCCTGCTGGTATTCCCACTGGAAGGAACTGGGAAGAGGTTCTTGCAAAGCAACATAAAATGCACCAGAAAAGGAAAGCCAAGCAGCACAAATGACCTCTTTTCCTGATCCAAGGTAACTATTGTTTGTATCACTCAAACAGCAAGAGGTGGAATTCCCAACAGCCACAGGCAGCTATCCATCCACTTGAGTTCTGGATGGAGGAGTTGAATGAACCAGTGATGGTTGCAGGACATTGACCTGTACAATGTAGGTGTCAAAATATTCTCCTGTACTTAAAGTGCAGCCTAGAAATTCAGCTCAACCTGCTTTCCCTGTTCCAATTCAGTACAACAAGCACAATTCCAGGACAGTGCATTCTCCCATTCCCCAGCTCCCAGGGAGCATCCAAGGGTGCCATCTGCTGACAAGGGTTTATTTCCTCACTCTGATCATTGCTTCCATTCTCTGCTCTGGGTTAAAGTGGTGACTAAGCCCCAGACCCACAGTGCAGCCTTACAAAGAGCCGTGTCAGGTTTGGAAGTCAGTTGTTTGATCTTTTTCATGGATCCTCAGCATGGGTGAATGAAAATCGTGTGGTGTCTTTCCCAGTTTGGAAAGGCTGAGCTTCAGAGGAAGCCCTTGCCATGTCCCAGACCACCTGTGCTCTGTATTACTTGTGAGAGAAAATACAATTCTGGTTTTCACAATGTGGTAACTCCATGAAACTCGCAGGGAGTAGGACAGAGGCTCTCTGTTCTCACATGCTGCCAGCCTCACTGCCAGGTAGCCTGGGAATATCCCATCAAACGAAGGATTAATTTTATTTTACATACTACTATGTACATACACGTGCATTTCCATTTCCGTGTAATAGTTCGTAGACACCAGCTTGCTGGATGGAAATTCAGTCTGAAAATGATCTCTGGTGAGATGAGCTGAACAGCAGGATATAAAATTCTATATCAGCAGTTCTAGAACAGCAGTTCTATAAAATTTGGGGTTTTTTTTCAAGTTAGGCCCCCAGTTTTTGTCGGGTGCTTCAAGCTCACCCCGCTCTCCAACAGCAGGGCTGACCCTGAACTGCAGCTTGGACAGTGGCTGTTAGCAGAGTGTTTGGAGAAAGCCAAGCCTGGCACTCACTGGATAACCCTGTTTTCAGTGGGTAATTGTCCCAAACAGTTACAAACGGCAGCATCTCTCCACACCGGAGTGCCTGAGGAAGGAGAGGGAGCACGCGCTCCACGGAAAGGGAACTGGGAAAGGGAAAGGAGCAGGTGCTGAGCAGAGCCGAGCCCGAGCCACAAGGAGGAGCCCGGCACCTGCTCCGTCAGGTACCCAGGGAAGGCTGGAGTGCGGCAATTCCTGACTGCTGCAGCATTCCGAACTAAACAGAGAAAAACACACCCCTCCAGGTTTCTGCCAGGACAGTGTAACTCAGCCCCGTGCAGTCTCCCTGACCCCACCGCTCAGGCTGAGCAGCAGGGCCGAGGCAGACCCCGGGAAAGGGCTGAGCTTTCACCTGGGTAAGGAAACCAGCCTCTTCCCAAATCTTTCTCCTCTATCCCATCTCTCAGTTGCACACCAGAACTACCCTTAAAGACAAGGTAATCCTCTAACCCCAGCGGCTGCCACGGGAACACTTCCCAGTTTAGCCCCCCCTTACCAGCAGGAGGAACAGGACTCGCCCGTTCTGTGTTTGATGGAAGCAGCTCCACAGAAATCACTGAGACTTTTGAGGAAGACCATTCCTGAAGGATTGCCAGGTCCATTTCTAAGGCTGGCAGCTTTCAATAATTACTTGAAGCTTTTGACTGTTGCTACAAACTCACACTGTAAATATTTTCTCTAGCTAAGGATATAAATATCTTAACCGTGTTAATGATGGGAACAGCAGGAAATCCCTGCATTGCTGCCTATTGTGACAAGACCATTGAAACAGGACTGAACCTCAAATCGTGAGCAAATCAGTAGAAAATATAAAGTATCTAATTCTCATGTGTTTCCCCTGGGAATGGGCAGCTGTGGGGAACAGCTGGGCATTACTGACTCCGGACTGGAGGTTTTTTAGTTTAGAAATTGAATCACTTCATTAAAGCCTGGTGTCTCCTACAGGCTGAAGCTGTTGGTCTTTAATGACAGCAGATAGGACATGCTGGGTCTGAGGATCCACAGGCTGCTGTAATTCTACATCTGAGAATCTGGACAGAAAGCATCTGCAGAGCCCCATCCCTGCCCCAGCTCCCCATTTATTCCCCTCACGAGCAGGAAAACATAACATGCTAACTACAGGGTTAGAGAGAAGTCTGAGGCAGAGCTGATCCTGTTCCACACCTACGGGATTTTGGCCACACCTCATTATTATCATATGAAAAGAAAAAGAAAAAAAAACCCAAACAAGCGAAAGGAAAGCAATCCGGTATGTGGCTGATTCCAAACAACAACAGTGTGCAGGCTCATAAATGCTTCAGAATTGACCAAGAGGAAGCACGTTTCGTGATGACACAATCTTGTTGCTGTAGTCATTCATCGAAGGGAAACTCCCACAGGAAAAGGCATAAAGCTGCTCAGGGAAGGCGAAGAGGCTGCTCAGTGCTAGGCAGCCAAAGCCGGGGTTCGATTCACACAGAGCTAAGCATGAGCACCAGCCAAGGCCCTTTCCAGTTTTTTTCTGGGTCCCTCAGGGGTAGTTCAGGGTGTGGTTTGGCCCAGCAAGGAACTTCTTACAGAGCGTCAAGTGCAGATGGTGGTGCCAGCAGCACACATCCCTCCTTCTCCTCCGCCAGACCCCTCTGGCTGCCTGCAGGAGGGGCACCCTGGGCAGGCTTCGGCGAGCACCATGGGGAAAGCATCTTCCTGGGGGGCAATGAGAAACAGACCATGCAGAACCTGAATGAGCGCTTGGCTGCCTACCTGGACAAGGTGCGAGCCTTAGAAGCAGCCAACGCTCAGCTGGAGAGCTGCATCCTAGAGTGGCACAGGACAAAGTCTCATGGAAAGAGGCATGACTTCAACCAGTACGAGCAAAACGTCACTGACATGCAAAGACAGGTAAGTCAGAGCTGGGACTGTGTCATTCTGTGCTCTTCTAAGGAATCTGGGCTCTCCTTTATGCTGGTGGCTTTCCTCTGAAGAAGTTAAATAAAACCTTTGAAATGTTAGAAATCCCCAGGAAGGTGGTTCCAGGGCCTGGGCACAAACATTCTTTGTGCTCAGCAGGAGGAGACGGGGCACGAGAAAGGCTGGGAGGGGGCGAGGGGGGATTGTGCAGAGACTGGAAGAATAGAGGGATCCGTGTGCTGCCAAGTGCTCCTTTCTGCACTGAAACTGGGGCTTGAGTAACTGCGTCTGGCAGAATTCTGGCTTTTTGACGAGCAAATTACAAAGCAGGAGGAGAGCAGAGCCTGCCCCTCTCCTGCCGCTGTCTCCAGACAGACTGGGGCATTCCAGCTCTTTGATTCCTGCGGTAGCAGACAATGAAACTACAGGAGTTTTGGGACCAATGAGCTTATGTAATCAGATGGAAAAATACTTCATTGTAATTAAGAAAATAGCAGTGACAAATTCCTTGTGGATGTTTTCACTATAATTAAAAGGAGAATTTCTGGTTCCTGCCAGTAGTTAATATTAATGTTCAACAGTAACTCTTTCAATCTCCCAAACTCACGTGTCTTCAAATTTAAGCATAATATTAATCTGTATTCATAATGAACATCCTTAGCACTGTAACCAGCTGTGTGACTAATCAGTGTAATTAACTTTACATACCCATATGGGGCAAAACCCAAAGCTCTTCCAAATGCAATGCTGTCGTTTTCCCTCCACTTTTTACAATACAATTACTTGGCATTCTCAAGACCCTGAGAAATTCTTTTCAAAAGGGCTTGGAAATGATGTTAATCCATATCTTTGCTGATTGGGGCCAGGGACTTAATCAAACTGGGTGCTCACTGTTAAAAGTGTTGCCTCCAGGCAGAAGATGAGGCGCTCTGACCACAGCCTGTGTACAGAGAGCCAGAACTGTCATCACCCATTTCTGTTTTAAGGATAAAGAAAGGTCACTGTCCCCAGACCTGGCACTGGAGCACTTTCCTTTTTAACTGAAAGAGAAATAAAAACTTGTTCATCAAGAACATAAATGTGTTCAGGTTGATTTGGAATTAATAGATTAGAAAGATTCAGAAGGACAGGCATAAAACCATGATGCTGACTGGGGTAAAGCCCTCACTTTTGAATAGGCTATACCCAAACCACTGATTTTTAACTCTCACCCCTTAAACAGCTGTCCCTGGCCACAGGAACCTGGAGGCCAGTGGCTGTGCTGGATGAGGCAGGAGGGCCAGGAAAGGATCATTTACAGGTGACAATTCAGTGCTTCAGCCCAGAATTTTAACTTTCTCTGCAAATTATTGCAATTAGCACCAAGTCTGCCAGTAAAATGAGTGAAAATATAGTGTCTAATTATTAACCATAATTAAATTAATTAAACGTTAATTTAAAAGGTGAAACTAATTTAGCACCTGAAATAAAATTTAGACCAAAGTTAGGATCCTATATCCAATAACCCAGAAAGCCTATTATAAACTGTCTGTCTGAACCTTGGAGGCATTTAATCATTTGGGCCCTACATTTTTGGACTGCACTCTTCCCTGCATACCTGAATTCAGGAGGAACATTTCACTGGAGTGAGAAGTTGCCTTGCTCCAGCCACTGTAACCCAGACACACAGTGAAATGGCACCTGTTCTTCAGGTAACTGCCTCATTCAAACACCTTGTGCTGCTAAATAACCAAAGTGATCTACAGAGCACTCCAGGAGATGGGACAAAGGACACGAGACATGTGAGGAAGAAGCCAGTGCAGGAAGCCTTCTTGGAAAATCCTCAGTTTGAGAAGGAATTGGAGTGTATTTCCTATATAACAACATGTGAGTCCTTAATGAAGTTATCTGTGAGTTTGCAGAGCGGTACTAGTGTACAGCCACATTCACGAGGGATGCAGGCAGGAATTCTGTGTGATTATGAACAGGCAGCTGGCACATGTGGGATTCCCTGCTGGCTGCAGAGCACCCACGAGGGCTCAGATAGCAAGAGTCACACAGCAACTCCTTACACCTGTGTGGTTATGAAATGGCACAAAGATGAAGAACTCGTGTTGCTTCCTCATCACCCTGTAGATCCCACGGTAGGATTTACCATTCTCCAAGGCTGGATTCAAGAATTGCCTCTTCTCTGACACCAGATTCCAGGCAGCCACACGTTCAGGGTGTTATAGTTCTGCTGGCCTTGATTGTGTCCCAGGGCAGGATCCGAGGTGTGCTGCTAATTGCTCAGGAACGCACAGTCTGTAACAGATTAGTTAAACATTCCACCTTCTTATTTACTACACGAGGTGAACCTTTGACACTTCAGGAGAATTTTGTCATTTCCTCGTTTCTTTGTGATTCACTGAGGTGTGGGAAGTTTAACCTGAAGGTGCTGAGAGCTCTGTAAATGATTTTGGTACAGCCATGATGCCCCTTGGTGTGCTCTGTGGGTGCTGAGTGAAGGTGACTGGTGCTATTGTGACCACACTCCTCTTTCCTCTCTGTTAGAAAAGGACTCAATGCCCTACATTTATGATTTCCTGAGAATTATGTATGGGTTCCTGCTGGAATTCTTCCAAAGATTTTGTACACAATGCTGAGCTTTTTGCATTCAGATCTATAGTTAAAAGCCATTCCATGTTATCAGGGGCTCACAAGACTTTCCAGTGTGTGCTGAGTACACTAAAGGAATTAGGAAGTTGTGCTTCCTCTTGCACTTTTTTGGGCAATTTTCAAATCCCAAAGCAAAATCAGAAAGATTAACTAATCAGTCCGTGCTGCTGGAGTTACAGGTGAATAACTGAATGGAACACAACTCCATGCCAGTGGCATTGTCCATGTGACTCCAGGCTGAAGCCTGTGGTGGATTGAGGGCCCTGCCCTGCTGCCACCACCCCTGTGGTGCCTCTGCATCACAACACCGACTCAGCAAGGTGTTCCTGCACGTGCTGCTTTTTAGTATATCATTAATGCCAGCACCTGATTGTACTCAGACACAGCTTAATGGTTCTTACTGAAATTTGCTCTAAAGATGCCCAAGGCAGCTTTGTCAGCGAGGCTGAACAGGATCAAAATCCGGTCACAGAACCAGAGCAAGGCAGTGACTGTTACTCTGTAATAAACCATGAAGTTTGTGTAATACAAATCATATCCTCTACCTGGCCAGGAATAAGATGACAACTCTTGGTTTGTACCCAAAAAAGTAAGACTAAGAGTAAAGTAAGATTATGGACAAAAATTGCAGAACATCTAAATGAAGCAGGAAACTGAGCTGCTGTTATTCTTGTTACATGGAAATTCTTGTGCTCTTGTTACATGGAAATTCTGAAGCAGCAGGGAGGCTAAACCAGCACGGGTTATCTACTGTCACCCCATGGCCACACTGAGCCTCCTGTGGGATTCTCTGTTTTCCAGATTGAGGATGGCAAGATCACCAATGCCAGTATCCTTTTACAAATCGATAACGCTAACATGGCTTCTGAAGACTTCAGGCTCAAGTAAGCTCTTCTTTGGTTTCCTGATCAAGTTTGAAAGAGGATTAAGCAAAACATTGTTTTTTCTTGCTAATCCAACAGTGAAGTGATTTTACTGAGGTTCTCTGGTGATACTGGATGAATAAAACCAATGTAGAGCAGGGAAAAAAACCCTCAAAGTATGTAAAACCCACAAATGATTGCTGAAGAACCTTGAGTCACCCTGTTTATGATACTTAGTGTAGGTCCTGAGGAGCAGGTTTGACAGCAGACACTTGATACTTGTGACAAAAGGCACTTAAAACTGTCATCTGGGATTACAAATTATGGGATTACAAATTATCCCCTCTATGCACTGCACTTCCCAGTCCAGCCCAAATCTATTTCCTGGATTTATCACCTCTTCTGCCCATGGCAGCATCTCCCTGCCTGCAGCTCAGTGCAGACACTGCGAGAGGTTAGAGAGGAATGGGAATAACTGGCTTCCTTCAGATTTTTCCTGTCTTCTGAAGGACTGAAAAATTACCATTTTGGAAAAACTACAGCACTCATTGATTGCTGGGACTGTTTTCAGAGAATCATATTCTCAAAGCTTTCACAACCTGGTGAATATTAAAGTGCAAAAAGGGAAGTGAAAGAAAGAGCAATTTTATTTCTTACCCTATAGGAGGAGTTGTGAGGGAGAAAGGAAAACAAAATACAAAAATAGTGAAACCCATCTTATTGTTAAGACTGTTCAAAAATATTCCAACAGCGTATTTTAGAAACAGAATTTGTTCCCTCGGTTGTTTGTTCTCTCTGGTTGCCTACACACAGGACTCCAGCACGTCTAACTTCTCTTTGATGTTCTCTGATGCCAGAGCCTGAGTTGGGCAGCTCTCAACACGCACCTTGTGTCCTCTTTCCTCATAAAGATACGAAGCGGAGAAGTGTCGCAGGCAGGGAGTGCAGCTGGATGTGGAGAACCTGCGGAAGGAGCTCGACGGCCTGACCATTATTAACACAGACCTGGAAATGGAAATCGAGGGCTTGAGAGAAGAGCACATCCTCAGGAGGAAGGACCACGAGGAGGTAGAAAAAGTTCCACTTGGTAAAATCCTATCGCTCAAATCTTTGCTAACATGTAATTAACTGAGTAAGACCCACAATCTGTAAGTGGGATTGATGATTCAGTTTGATCCTGTTTCTGAAGCAGCCAATGAGAGTCAGATGAGGCACAAAGTCTGTGTCTGCTTTACCAATTACACCAGGGTTTCAGAGAGAACAGGCTGTTGTAGTCTCTCCCACCCATCTGTCATGCACAGCTACTAATAACTGACAGATTGGACAGAAATGCTCTCAGAAAGACTTAGATACAAACACACAAGATTTCAAGGAAATAGGAAATGTTACTGGGTGCTGTTGGGTTTAACCATCACAGCCTTTTCCCTCAGTCCTGGGTATATCCTTTCCCAGACTCACAGAAGGTTGAGGGTTGGGAGGGACCTCTTGAGGTCCCCTTGTCCACCCCCCCTTACTCAAGCAGGGTCACCTAAAGCAGGCTGACCTGAGCTAAGCACACCCTAAGTTCTTGAAGGATCCAAACTAAAAAGGAATGGTTGGCGAACTCAAGCAAAATTACTCATTCTTGCAAAATCCCAAGCACAATAATTAGATAATAATTCTCAAAAGCCACGCTGCTCTGAACTCCTCCAGAGCTACACCCAGTGCTCTCTGTTATTCCACATTTATAACCCCACTGCCTGAAATGTGCTGGTTTCATTTCAATCCAGTGCTGTTTGCAGTTATTGCCTCACGCAGAACCCAACGCGCTGTTCAGTGTCCGTGGGCTGTCGAGGCGGGCAGGGAAGCACTGGGGTTACACAGCAGTGGGGAAGCTGCCTTTGGCTGACCCCCTGCCAGCCCTAGCTCTGGGAGGCAGGGATCCAGCAGAGCCATCCGTGTGTCCAGCTGATCCAGGTGATGTCATACCCCGAAAGGCTCCTCTGCCTGGGCGCTTTGAAAATGGTACCAGGCACGGAAGGCTGTGCTACACCAGAAGGAATGTTACCCTACCTGCCCGACTGGTCCCGTAATTATGTTGTTTACACAGTAATTATATGCTTTAATCCAATTATTCCTTTAACAATTACATAGAACTTTTACATTACTCTCCTGTAAACTTAGTTATAGTTCCATAAATATTAACGTAAAGGGTAAGAAAGATTAAATTACTGTTAGATTTTCGTCAAAGGTTTTGGGTTCCTAACAGATAAATAAATAAAAAATGTCAGTGCTTCTTCATTAAGCCTATCTTCCAGAAACATTCTATGAAAAGATCCTCTCATACATTTTTATTGAGTTAAGCAAACATAACTCACTGGTTTAAGTCACATCAGAGTAACATCAGTATGTAAATTTTCCAAATAATGTTAACTTTATATATATATATATAAAGTTAACATTATTATATATATATATATAACAATTCCCCCAGCAAACCACGCTGTGATTCTGTGGTTCTGTGAAAACTTTGCACTTCCATAAATGAGTTTGCTTGTTCCCTCTGCTAACACATGAACAGGATATGCAGGCAAATCGCTCCTCACAAGACTTCAAAGTCAACGTCAAAGTAAACGCGGCCCCTCCTGAGGACTTAGGCAAGATTCTGGCAGAAATAAGAGAAGATTATGAGGCCATAATCGAAAAGAATCGTCAGAGCCTGGACAACTGGTACAAAGAACAGGTAACAGCTATTCCCTGCTCATTTCCAAGATCCCTGTGGCTGTACCTGCCCGACCAGGGTCAGTAAAGCTTTGCTGTTGCTTCTGCTCCCCAGAGCTCAGTCACGTCCCTGGCAGCAACCCCCAACCCCGAGGAGATCCAGCGCAACGAGAACGAGATCAAGGAGCTCACACGGACCTTGCAGGCCCTGGACATCGAGCTGCAGGCACAGATAAGTAAGGTATCTGCTGCAGACATCCTGGGCTGCTCTCTCCTACCCCAACTCAAAGTTGCCATGGACCAGTTCTCCATTTAAATCTACAGCCTAGAATAACTTTGTTGCAGTTGCTAAAGTAGGAGGGAAACTGGAATTCAGAACGTGCTCAGCTTTGACAGAACATGCCAAATAGATTCAGCAACCATCACCAGGAAGTGAAAAATTCATGTCTCTCCTTAAAACAAAATATGGGGAGGGGAGGAGAAGGGGTAGCTGATTCCATGGTCTAGAAAGCAAACACGTCCAGAAGACAGATAATAATGCAAAGTTCGTATTTGCAACCCTTATTTAATGCATGAACTGTTAAAAATGAAAAATGCTGGTGGGGAACTTTCACAAACATTGCTCAGCTCTTGTATAGGTTAAAGCTCACATCCCAGTGACCTGGAGACTTTGCAGCAGTTGTGGACAGTCCATGCAGGACTGACAGGAGAGGCAGCAGTGCCAGGAGCAGAGCTTGGAGCAGAACGGATACAGCAGGGAGAAATGACTCAGCTTTGCCTCTCATGCACACACGACACAGCTTCGTGGTTCTGCTGCCTTCACAGGAATAGTTATGCAAATGCATAAGTGTTTAAATTACCACAGCCTTAATTTTGCAATCTTCTAGCTAGAGACCAAATTCCCTGGCATTTCTGCATTATATCTACCACATAAATAATAATCATGGTTCCTGGTATTATCTGCTCTGCCAGAAACACATGCTGGAAGACACCTTGGCCGACACTCGGAATTACTACGCTGCCGCGCTCCAAAACATGCAGCAGATCATCTCCAGGTGTGAGGAGGAGCTGAGCCAGGTTCGTCACGACATGAAGCAGCAAAATAACCAATACAAGGTTCTTCTTGGGATCAAAACCCGCCTGGAGAAGGAAATTTCCACGTACCGCCTGCTGCTGGAAGGGAACGCTGACGGGTAAGGCAGAGCTGCCCCGACTGGAACAGATGAGAGGAGAGTCCTCATATTCGAGTTATTTATTTGTTTGTTTGTTTATGCTTAATCAAAGCTTGTGAGTTCCATGCTACATCAAGGGTTGGTATTTTAATGCGATGGATCATAATAAAAAGCCAGAGCCACTTAAAGTACAGAGACACTTGTATCCATGTAATTTGGATTGCCTAAATTAATATAACTTTTTATTAAAAAAAATAAGTTCTCCACTCCCACAGCATGGCCATCTCAGCATAGGAAAGTGCTGCCCTCATCTTTGTTCTCTCATCTGAAAAGGAAGATTAGCAGCCTTTAGAACCCAAACTCTCGGGCAGGGAGGCCAGTGTGGCCCCCCAAGGGTGGTGGGATTTGTCCAAAGCCAAACTGGGATCAACCTGAGTAGCTCAGAATACACAAGAACCAATGCACCTTCCCCAGGAGCAATAGTGAATGTGCACGAGGACAGTTCCAGGTGACAGCACCTACCAAGGGGAAAGTTCGTGGTATAAAAGCATAATTTTTTTTTCCTTTTTATTTTTTAATTTTCTCTCATAGTGGGATGAGGTCTCCTTAGAATCAGTGAGAAGAAGGGGATTAAAAACTTCTTGAAATTAGTCTAACCATTATTTTCTCTCTATTATTTTTACAGGACAGCAAGAAAATCTGAAGCTAAAGGTAAATGTCTCTTACTTTGTTCTCTGTAGTGACTCTTAATTACTGTCATTTCCAATCAAATTTTCCTCAGTAATTTTAACCTCACCCGACTGAGCTGTGGCAGGTGTGTGTGGCAGGCAGGGCTCACACAGGCTGTATTTGAGAACCCTTTCAGCGGTTCCTGGGTGCTGTGAAGGGCTCCCTGCAGAGCCCGTCGGGCTGTGCCTGCTGCTCCTGGGCTGCCTCAGCCCCAGCGCCGTCAGCCACACACGTGGCCACAGCTCAGACTCCAGACTAAAGCCTTCCTGGGATATGAGGAGGCACAGAGACTCATTGGGTGACTAAAGCAGCGTTAGGGCTTGAGAGCAAACCAAAAATCTGCATGTCTGGGAACTGGTATTCTGGCATGAGCATGACCTGCAGACATCCCGCATAATCTGCTGGATTTGCATTGGCTGGGCTGTCGCTGTGTTATTCATTTGCCCTGACCTGGACCAGACCCAGGGTGACTTTCTGGCAGCACATTTCACACAGAGCAAGAACAAATATTGACTTAAAGGGAAACATGCAAAGATAACTCGGCTGAGAGGCAGGTGAAGGACTGCAAAGGAAGCTCTCCCTTGTGGCCTTGTCCCAGCGTTGCCCCTCGGCTAATGAAGTCCCCTCTCTTCCAGAACACGCCGGGCTGAGCAAACGGAAGCTCAAAGCCATTGTCCACGACAGCGTGAACGGGGAGGTGGTTTCCTCCACCATCAACGAGATCCCCCCACAAGCCTGAAGGAAGGTCCTGCCAAGCAGTGGCTCTCCCAGCAGCAGCTCCCCCAGCCCCCCGGAACAGTGTGCTGTGAGCCAGCTCCCCGTGTGTGGGACAGGGACACTGCAGTGAACTCGCCCCTAACATGATCTGCAGCCTAACCCTGCAAAGTGCCACACGGAGCTGGGTATAGCTGATATTGGTAGTTTAAAGAGCTTTTAGTCACGCAGACGCTGAAGAGAAGCTGATCAGCGTCAGCAGCTGGCTGAGCTGGTGACAGATGTATCGTGCACATCTCCCCGGGGCAGGAATCTCCGTCTGGGATTCAGTTATCACTCTGCAAGTTAACTATAATTTAAAAGGAATAATCTCTCAACTTTTTTCCTGGTCTTATGCCTCTCATCATATACCTCACTGCAGCCAATAAATTTTTATCCATTACTTGTTCTGGTCCTTGGAATTTCTGATTTTGCTTTCCCTTACACATGTCCCAGCCCACTGTGGCAGTGCCACCGACATGGCTCAGGACTGCCAAAGCCCCATTGTTTCAGGAGGGACAAAACTGGAAGGACACAGGAAAGAAAAAAGGTGACACAAGTTAAAGACAGCATTTACACGAGCAAACTATTCAAATTCCCCATGTACAACTTTTCAATGTCACCACTGAAAACAGTATTATGAGTAGGAGTGTTGTAAAGTCACTTTACTAAAATAGTCACCTAGAAACATTTCTTTATTCTTCAGCTTGAGAGAAATTTTCTTGCACTGTCTTTACACACTTTCCTTCAGAGCCTGTAAGTACTTTTCCAGATACTCTCAACCTTTCTCAGTGACCCAGATAATTCAAAAAACCATCTCAGTTATTTGGTCTGATATTAATGTTCACTGTATCTCTCAGATTAATGTTCACTGTCTCTGTGGTTGGGTTCTGCAGTCAGGACAGAGTGGTGATTGCACCGGGTGCTAACGTCAGGGAGAGCCCACGGGCTTTAGTCACATCCAGGCTTCCTCCCCTTCCTCAGCTCAGACCCCGACAGAACAGTGCTGGGCAAAGCTAAATATGGGCAAGGAAAAGAGAAACATCATTAGGATGTTTAGATGAGGAAGACTGCAAGGCAGAAGGAAGGGAGACAAAATGGAGCATAATGAGTGTGTTAAGGATTTGCACTCCAAAGTCACCATCTGTGTCCAGGGCAGGCTCACAGTCGAGTGGCATTGTCATCGTGCCCTTTCATCCCCACTCATGAGGGATTCTCACAAAGGGCTCCTGTTACCTGCCTTGCTTTGAAACAGGGCTCACAAAGGAAAGGGAAAATTTCAAAGAAAATGCAGATTAAACTGAACAAAGTCCATCTCTGTGATACAGCCCTCTGCTACCGGCATGTTCGGACCAGTTCCTGACCCCCCCTTCGCCCCCCGCCCCCCAACTCTCCACCCTTGTTGCACAAAGAGATCCCAAAAGCATTGGATGGATTACCTAATGGTTTCTTTAAACTGGGTAAAACTTGTAATACAGGATTAGTAACTCCTGGCTAATTAACAGTGTCCTTCCTTATGGCTTACCAGACCCAACGAGCCAGACCTGGTGTTTGTAGCATCTGGACAAAATGTGCCGAGGTTTTCTTGAACAATTTTCAGAGTTATTTAAAGATAGGTTCATTTACCAGATTTACAGAGGAGAACCACATTGCTGTGACACAGATAATTACAAAAACTTCTAAGTAGCCCCTTATTTCTACATCAAAGGAAAGTATCTGCTTTGTGCTGGGTTATTGTGCTGAACTACAAGGAAAGAAGAAGGGAAAACAAGCAATTGAAGTGCTGTGTGGAACACGCCTGTCCTTATTTCACACTGCTGAGCGATGCCCTGGCTTCCCTCTGCCCTGTGCAGGCGTCCCCTGTGCAGAGGTGAGACGTGCTCCCCGTGCCCTGTGCTCTGGTCCCAGTGGTGCTGGATAAGAGGCAGCACAATTCCCATTCTCCTCTGCTAAGAGGCAGCACAGTTCCCATTCCACTCCACCACTCTGATGATTTTAGCCTTCTCTTACCCCCGTGCCGTTGAGCTCTGTACTGGTCAGACCAGTAGAGCCCAGTACAGCTCACACACCGACCTCCCAGCTCACCCCGTTACTGACACCACCGCGCACCCACGGCTCTCACAGCCATTTAAGTCTCTTTTACTAAGTGGAGTAAACCAGCTAGTCCTTAAACATACAAATACTCGTTCCACCACATGCTGTTTTCCAAAGGAAAGCAAATATTCTGTGGCAAAAGCTGCTGATTTCTGGCGAATCTTCCACGGCTCCAGAACACTCTGCACAGTCACAGGTTTCCTCGGAGCTGGACAGCTCGTGTCACCAGCCATGTGTGCCCTGTACCTGCTGGTTACTCATTACCTCTGAATTTGTGCTCTGGTAGATAAGTTATGCATTTCTAAATGTATTTAGGGTGGGTCTGCACCTTAAATAATAAATAATGGTGCTAATATTTACCACTTGCATGCACTGTTAACATCATATTCTCACACCACACTGAGAGATGAAGCCAGGGAGATAATGAACGGGGGCAGTATTATCATTCCCATTTTATTGCTTGAGAAATTGGAAAAAGAGATGACACAACTTGCTCAAGGCTGCAAAGAAAGTCACTGATAGCCACTAAATTAAAATTCATCACTTCACAGCTTCTACTTAGCCCAGCTATTAGATAATACAACTTCCTGAAGAGCCATTCCCCACTCACAGCAATCCTGTCTGTGTCTGATTGCTTGGAAGAGATAATTCCATTGATTCATTCCAAGTGTTTACGGTCGGTCAGGACCCTGCACACACTCTGATGATGTTCAATGTGCCTGTGTCAGCAGCCTGACTGAAATGAGCCCTGTACAGAACACTGTGCTGGTGTCTTTGGTGGCTTTGTAGTATTTGGGAGGGTTTAAAAGAGGGCACAAGTGGTGCTTCTTGTAATCTCAGAGCAGCAGCTTGAAGAGAAGGAAATCTTTGGGAGTATGATGCTGTATGGCTTGAAAAATTACTTTATTAATTATTTGTATTGAAACTGATGGAATTCTGCCAGCTGGTATTTTGTCTCCTTCAGTATTCCATACACACACAAGTGCTGTTTTGACACCAAGGAAATGACAGAGCCAGGACCAAAGGAAGTGCAATATGAAAAATTTGGAGTATCACACAAAATAACCCCCTCCAAGTGAATAGATTCTATTTCCCATAAATGGATAACAAAGAATTATGAGCAGGAAAGAACAGCATTTCTCAGTCTAAGTGAATGATGCAACAGTACTTCTGCAAACCAACAAGACACAGGAACTGAGCCTATAAAAGGAGGCTGAAACCATCCGTGCTCGCAGCCGGCTCCTCGCAGTTTCACCTGCCATTTAAGGCAGTCCTGCACGGAATAATCCCCAGTGTGATTTCCAAGAGCCTTGACTGCTCTCCAGCCTGGGCATGAGTCACAGCTCATTTCACTTGGAGAAATGTTAAAACTTATTAAGGTGTATTACAATAGGCAGCTCTGGTAAGTGAAGTGTTGATCCCCTGGAAGAGGTGTGTGATGAGGTAATGCAGCCACAGTTTGTGCTATTAATCACACATTCTTCTGGGGAACTGGCCCCACACTGCCAGGGCTTGGCCTTATTTATCAACAGTCACTTCTGCAGAATGCAAGATTTTTGCTCTCTGTTCCTTGTTAATGCGGACACAAAATTAACAAAGCCATTTACAGAGAGAAGAAAGGGAATCTCTCCTTTAGAGCACTGCTAAACCCGCTGGTTCCATGGATTATTGAAGCAGAGAGAATAGGTAGAAGAGCCGGTAAAACATTTCACAATGTCCACACCCTGACCTATAAAGGTTTCTAAAGTTTTGCTGGGAGATGCCTGTTGGTGTGTATGAATCATTTGGAAAAAGGAAGGATCTATAAACAGGGAAGCAAGAAAAGAATAATGCTGGAGAGGCTGCACCCCCTGTCCCCCCATGTCCTGCATTATACAGCAAAAGCATTTTAATTATTGACTCTACCAGGACATTTGGCTTTGAGAAATCACAGCTAATGGTTTGCTATGTGTGGCTTCCTCATCATTCCTCCCTCTGTAAAATTTTTGTTTCTTTTCAAGATGCATTTTTACGACATCTTTAATTGTGTGACTATGTTGAAATGACCTACTTGAGCCCCAGGCCTAGGGCTGCCATAAACCAGCTGTGTGCAAAACTATGGCACAAAACAGAAGCATCAATGTCTGGCAGTTTGGAGTGTCCCTGTGGCAGGAGCTCCTGGGGTAGGACATGACCTAATGGTGAGGCAGGTGCAGGGTTGCTTCTCCTGGACACCTTAATTTGCCTTTTGAATGTCTAAATATGCATCAGAAGCTTAAAGGCATAAAATCATAACACCAGCTGTGGTAAAAACACTTTCAATAACTATCTAGACTTCAAGGGTAAATTTTTTGGCTTTCCAATGTCCTAAGGACAAGTCCAAAGGAGTCAATGTGACGGGCTGTTATTAGGCTCTACAGAAAGCAACAAAAATGAGGAATATAATTTGAGAAAAATGTATTTCAATTAAGAGGAATAATTGGTTGGAGGTTGGAGCAGGCAGGGAAAAGGAGAAACAAACAGGCTGAAGTAGCTACAACCTACAGTTCCTCCTTAGAACAGAAGTCAATGGTATGCTGCCTCTGCACCCCCAAACCATCCATATGAGAAACGAAAACATCAAATGCATCAAACAAATACACTGGGAGAGACTCTTGCCAGAGTAATTTCTAAGCAGAAAATCCGTAACGTTGCTGCAAGCAGACAGGAATTGTGATCGTGAAGTTATCAGTGCAGGCAAAAAATCACTGGTTTAGGCCTTATTAGTGAGAAAAATGACCAATTTTTGGAAGCTGTTTCAGCACCCAGGCTCTGCTTCCAGGTTAATCTCGCCAGAGACAGTCTCAAACCAGTCACCAAGACATTCTGGGAATGGATCCACTGGAAAAAACAGCGCTACTGTGTGTAACAAAAACCATAGAAACACAACCAAAGTAACCTTTTCTTTAGAGTTTATCACTGCCTAAAAACTGAGATACTCAGATCTTCATAACGAAGGGTGTAATTTTAAGTGATAATGAACATCCTGCTCTCAAAGATTTAGCTGTCAAGATTTAGAAAGACAGCTCATACTTCCTGCCACTGCTTCCAAACCCACTCCTTACACAGCACTTGCATTTCGGCCGGTGGCTCCAGAGAGAAATATTCCTTTAAATGTTTGGCCACGAGTGATGTAAAAACATTTCTTCTGGATG